TTTTGTGGGGGAGGTACCAGAAGGAGTGGGCCGATATTGTTCATCTTAACACCAGACCTTGGGTTAATATAAATATTGGGATGTGTGAAATTTGAAGACAATCGGACTCTTACATAACATTTTATGAGAGTTGTAATTATTCAAAATTTTGACCATTTGTGGGGGAGGTACTTGATGGAGTGGACCGATATTGCCCATTTTCACACCTGACCTAGCACTGACGCAAATATTAGGATTTGCAAAGTTGGAGCAAATTCGGATTATCCTTTCTCTTCCTGTGCAAAAAATATATTTTTTGAAAATTTCGACCTTTTGTGGGGGAGGTACCAGAAGGAGTGGGCCGATATTATTCATCTTAACACCAGACCTTGGGTTAATATAAATATTGGGATGTGTGAAATTTGAAGACAATCGGACTCTTACATAACATTTTATGAGAGTTGTAATTATTCAAAATTTTGACCATTTGTGGGGGAGGTACTTGATGGAGTGGACCGATATTGCCTATTTTCACACCTGACCTAGCACTGACGCAAATATTAGGATTTGCAAAGTTGGAGCAAATTCGGATTATCCTTTCTCTTCCTGTGCAAAAAATATATTTTTTGAAAATTTCGACCTTTTGTGGGGGAGGTACCAGAAGGAGTGGACCGATATTGCCCATCTCCGAACTCGATCTAAGTTTGACAAAAATATTACGTTGTAGCTAATTTGGACCAAATCGGATACTCCCTTCGAGAGTTATCGTGCGCACCAGCCAGCCAGACAGACAGACAGACAGACGGACGGACGGACGGACGGACGGACGGACATCGCTAGATCGACTCCAAATGTTCTGAAACGGATTTGGTCCAAAGAGACCTAGGGTCTAAAACCGTTATTTCGACTAGGCACGTTTTGGCCGTATCAAATGATATATACCCTCTGTAGCCATATGGCTGAGGGTATAAAAACATGGATTTGTTTTGGAATATTTTTTCGAAATTTCGAAATGTAATAAATATCTCATGAATCGTAGATTTTATAATATCTGTAATTTGTTTTCTAGTAACACAAAGATCTGTAAAATCGATCAATATACTCTGTGCAAATTTATCGATTTTTTCAAGCATTTTTAAAATTTATATAGCTTACTTAAAATCTTTGTAAAACATCGTTACGATTATTAAACTTTTTATAGGAGCAATTTAAAGCATTTAATTAATAGAATACACGATCGACCTAACACAAACAAAGAAAACAAGAGCAACCATCAGCATAATCATATTTTTAGCAATTAATAATTTTTCTGTCGGTGGTACATGTCTGGTGAACAAAATTAACATAATTTACATTTCAAGGGCAGCCTTTTAATTCAAGGCCAAAACAAAAAAAAAAAAAAAAACAGCAGTAAACATAAAACCCACAAATTGTGTCTAATTATAAAATAAAATATGAAGAACTAAAAAACTGTAAGTTCAGCCGAACTTTGAATATCCTCCAATCTTCGAATTTCGCAATCTTCAAAAAATAAAATCCGTTAAACATTATGTTAAAATCTTAAAAATACCGATTGTAAAAGTTATATTAGGGTCTATACGACGACATGGACCTGCATAGGTAACTTTTGTCATAACCCATTACAATATTCAAATGCGAAACTTTAAAAAATCGGTGAATAATGTAGCTAAAATCATCAAAATATCATCGGGGGTTACATGGGGGCCTATACGAAGACGTGGACCTGCATACGAAATTTTTTGTCATAGGCTGTAGTGCCCATTAAGATCTTTCAATACGAAATTTTAAATAATTCCGCTAAATGATGTCGCTAAAATCATGAAAATACCGAATATCGGGAGGTACCGTTATATAGGAGCTATACGAAGACCTGGACCTGCATAGACAATTTTCTGTCACAGGCTGTAGCCGAACTTCAAATACGACATCTCAAACAATTTCGGTGAGTATCGAACCTAAAATCATCAAAATACCGAATATAGGGAGGTACCGTTATATGGGGGCTATACGAAGACGTGAACTTGCACACCTTTACCAAAAAAAAAAAAAAAACAAATGTTCGAATTCTAATGAATCAAATTGTACACGATTTGCTCCGATCCTTCTTTATTTTTGACAGATGTTAGATACTTCTTCCAAAGCATTCTGGCTTAGGCATACAATTTGATATACAAGCACATAATCCGAAATACTGCTCATCTGCTCAAATAGTGGAATAGTTCAAAAAATTATATTACTCTATCTACAAAACCTGCAAATGCTGCTCAAAATTATCATACATCTGAATTAATCCTTTACAGGAATATCTTTTCAAAACCCTTACTGCAAATAAATCTTTTATTTAAAAAATCATTGCTTATTTTTTTTATCTCAAAACCAACTCAAAACCGCATTCAATTTATAATTTTTTTATATAAGCCATATAAAGCATTGATATAATAAAATTTGAGGAAAAATAATACATTAGCAACCTTACCAAAGAAAAAAATAGCAACCATCAGTGTAATCATATTTTCAGCAATTATTAATTATTCTTTTGATGGCGCATGTCTGCCGAAAAAAATTAGCATAATTAATATTTCAAGGGCGATTTTTTGTTCAAGTCCAAAACAAACAAGAAAACAGCAGCAAAAATATAAACCCACAAATTGTGTCTAATTATAAAATAAAAAACAAAATTAAACCAGTAAAGAAAGTCGTAAAGTCGGGCGGGGCCGATTTTATGATACCCTACACCACTTTGCTAATTTAGTTTAACTTAAAAATTAAAAGTTTTTATGGGAGAATTCAATCATACACGCTATGATTATAATTATAATTTAAAATTCAAAGGACTAAATATGCCGGCTGCATATTACGGCTGTGGGTAACAAATACAATAAATCGGATGAACAATATATATGGGAGCTATAACTATATCTGAACCGATCTTCACCAAATTTGGCATACTAGCTTCTAGACTAAATTCGGTCATATGTGCCAAATTCCATCCCCTTTAGACAAACATTAGACGTTTGGTGCACAATAAATGGTAAATCGGACGAAGTTATATATGGGAGCTATATCCAAATCTGAACCGATCTCGATAAAATTTACCAAAGGTATTTCTGAGCTGCATTTGATATATTTCCCCAAATATTGTTGTTACAGAGTGCATATTACGGCTGCGGAGGACAAAAATAACAAAGCGGATGAACAGTATATATGGGAGCTATAGCTATATCTGAACCGATTTCGATAAAATTTGGCATACTTGTTTTCAGGCCTAATTTGGTTGTATGTTCAAAATTCCATACTATTCGGGCTGATATTACACGTTTGGTGCACAATAAAAGGCAAATCGGACGAAGATATATATAGGAGCTATATCGAAATTTTTACCGATTATCTCCAATTTTAATAGGGTTCGTCCTTGGGCCAAACAAATGTTGTTTGCAAAATTTCATATCAATCGGATAATAAATGCTACCTGCATTTTGTTCACAAGAATACATGGACAGACGGACGGACGGACAGACGGACTGACATGCATAAATCAACTCAGAAAGTGATTCTATGCAGATTATCAAAAGGAACTATGGGTCTAACTCGTTTCCTTTTGCCTGTTACAAACAAATGCACAAAGACATAATACCCTGACCCTGATCTACACTTTGGTATTTTTTAGTGCCAACCTTGCTTTCCAAAATACTCCAGACACAATAGTCCAACGGATTGGTTTCTGGAGATTTTTTTGGCCATTGTGCGCTGGAAAGGAAGAGGGGAACCTTATTTTGAAACCATTCTTGGGGGGCGCGTGCTGAGTGCGATGGTGCTGAGTAATGTTGGAATGTCCAAGGTCTGCGACCAAGCTTACTTATACACCCTCCAGAATATTTTCGCGATAATATTCGGCATTTATTCTAATGTCAGGGTCGATTAATACGAGCGGAGAGCGACTAAGGCTGTTATGTGGGCACACACCATCACCATGGTCGGCGCCTGAGTACTGGTGGCCAACCGAAGATGCACATTTTCAGCTGACCTCTTTGGCAAGTAAACACGATCATGTTGTTTGTTTACAAACTGCAGGACAACGAATGTTTTCTCATCGGAGAAAACCAAATTCGGCAGTTCACCACTTTCGCCCCAGCGAAACAACTCTTTGGCTCTTTTGAGTCTATTTTCTTTCTGTTGCGGTGTAAGTTCTTGCAATTTTTGGAATATCAATGACTTTTCCCCGAGCTTATTTTGTCAAAATTTTCCGAATGGAATATTGCGATATCTTCAGCTCACGAGCCATTTTTCGGCCACTGTGACGCGGTTTTCCATCAAGTCGCTTCTTTACTTTTCGAACAATTTCTGCTGATGTTGCTATTCACACTTAAATGCTGGAGAACTCTAACGATATCCACGTATGGTATTCTAGCCAAATTTGAAGAAATCACACTGTCAAGCTTAAATTCCATCACCAATATTTTTTTATCTGAAAAATTCTCACCAAAATGCTTTTGTCTCACCAAATGCTTTTTTTGTACAATATAATGAGCTGTCACTGGAATAATTTTAGCAGCTGTCGGACGAGTGGCTTAGAAATTACAGCAGTCTGACGTTGGTTGCAGTTTTTTCATGTCACCCTGTATTCTTATATTTATGTAATATTTAGTCCTGTTAAAAAAAGGATCGGTCCTTTTTTCCCATTTTCCACAATGGGCTAACATGTTACGAACTTATAATTCAATGCAACATAACCGAACGATTTTCTAAATATCTCAAAAAAGGGCAGGGCAATAAAATTCTTCCACGCTTAGAACTTTACTGGTCAACTCTTTCTATAACCTACACTACCAATAGTTAGAATTTTTAAATGAAATAATATTCAGTCTATATTAGATCTAGTGCCTGGTAACTTCAGATGCCTAATTTCACTTCAATAAATCACGAAAATATTAACAAAAATTATTTTTTTCCGCTCAAAATATTTATATAAAAATTTATATATAAATGTGGAAAATACTTACCCCATTTAAAGTTTTCACATTGTGCAGGGCATCTTGAGCTTTTAAGGCAGCACGGCGGGTATAAAATGTCACAAAACAACAACCTGCAAAGAAATCGGAAAATAACGGAAGAAAGGAGATGAATAAAAACAATTGGACCATCATCAGCAAGAAAACGTTTTGGGATACCAAAAACGAAAAAAAAAACAACAACAAGAACAACTTAAAATAAAGTGGACTAAATAAATGTAATAAAAAGGAATTATGGTTGTGAAACAAAAAAAAATGAAAGGAAAGGAAAAAAACGTTCAGGAATTTGGTTGTCCTTATTGGTTTTGTAAGCTTAAAAAATGTTTGCCGCATCAAAAAAAGAAGAACGCTTAAAAAAGGAAACCAACTAAAACGGACACCGACACACACACACACACCGCTGTATAAAATATTAATATTCACAATTTTTAGGGATTCCTTGTAATAGAAATGTGTAAGTGTGTGTGTGTGTGCGTTACTGCGTATAAATAAATATTGCCGCATAGCTACGGCAAAAGGCGGGTGCATTTCTCTGTTTCATTTTTTTTTTTTGTTTCTTAAGTAAACTAAGGTTCGCCTGGGGTCACTTCACCCCAAAAGGTCATTTCGGTTCAAGAATTTATGTTTTACGAGTCCACTAAATATTTCCTTAATTCCGTTTTTTTAAAGTCATTTGTAATGCAGGCACTTTCACACAATTTATGAACATCATCGACGTGCGAAAGGAAATGCCAAAAGAAAATTTAATGACTTGACCGTTGCCATTTTGATTTGCAAATTCTAGACACGTTTCGGTGATTATTGGCTTGTTTTAAATGCAAATTTTAGCTGATTGAAAGGGGGTGGGGTTATTTTTTTTGCTTTTGGCTTTCGGAAATTAATGGCTTTAAGGTTTTTGTTTAGCAGTTGAGCAGCATAATCGTTTTAATGAGTAAAAATTATTGTCAGGATTAATAGACTTTTTTTTTTGAGGATGAATTGATTCTTGGAAGAACTCAAATAGAAAAAATAAACAATTGTTCAAAATATAAGCGTCTTTAAATAGATCCTTTAACAAATCTAAGGTGGTGATAGGCCGATTTTTTAATGACCAAAACACCACAATTGAGGTACCTTTGCAGAAAACAAGAAAATATTTGAGAACCAAGAAGGATTTTTATTGACTTTTCGCGGATCGTATTTCTTACAGGATTTTTTTAAGCTTTGTGAAAATTTTTCAATATTTCATGTTCACAAAGAATATTGTTTGCGCATTTTTATACAAGGACCGACAGGGTTTAGATATTTCAGAAATTTGCTTGGCGTGTCAATTTACACCATAGTATGGGGGGTATATTAAATCTGTCACTCCGTCTCTAACACCTCGAAATATAAATTTTAGACCCCACAAAGTATATATTCTTGATCAGCATAAGGTTCTACGTCGATTTAATGACAACCGTCCGTCTGTCAGGTACATGTCTTCATATAGCTCTCATATAACAGTACCTCCCTATATTCCGTATTTTGATGATTTTAGCGACATTATTCACGGGAATTGTTTCATATTTTATGTTTGAATTTCCTAATAGGTACTGCAGTCTATGACAGAATATTGTCCTTGCGGGTCCAGGTCATCGTATAGCCCCCCTATATCGGTACCTCCCAATATTCGGTATTTTGCTGATATCAGCGACATTAGTCAACAGAACAGTTTCATATTTCGTATTTGCAACCGGGTTTTACAGCCTGTGGCAGGAAATTGCAGGTCCACGTCTTCGTATAGCCCCAAAATAACGGTAACTCCCTATACACGGAATTGTTAAGATTTTAACAAAATTTATAAAGAATTCTATTTTTTATTTATTTTTTAATTTACAAATTCTATCCATATGGTGGAGGGTATTCAAAGTTCGGCCCGGCTTATTCACCTGTTTATGATTAAAAAACACAATTTTTTTATTTTTTAATGACAGTAAGAATTTTTTTTTTCTAAACATGTTCTATTTTAGGCATTTTTTAGGCTTTGGCTTTTAGTAAAATTTGAAACAAATTTACTTACTGCCTACATTTATTGAATTTTTATGGCATACATTTTTAGTCTATAAAGACATAGATTTTTTTTAAAGTGTGATTTTTTTTTGCATTTTTAAATCCGGATTCTCCTATACATTTTTAAAGCATACGTTTTTGGAAATTTGTAGATTTTTGAGGAAGGAATATAACTTAATGTTGTTAGTGATTTTGTAAAATGCAGCGTAGGTTTGGATATTTCAGAATTTTATTTGGACTATCAATATGGCCTTTTGTGACTTTTTGTAAATAGAAAATGAACCGTGTTTTTTGTAATTTTTAAAGGGTTAGTTTTTTGAAGGACTGTCAGCGTGTTTTATTTTTAAGCCGTTTTTTTTTTTTTTTTTTTTTTTTTTATATTGTTTAGGAGTTGTCTTTTTAATAAATTTTTAAACAAATGTACTTAAAGCGTACATTTTGAATTTTGAAGGCGTGGAATTTTTTAAGATTTATTTTTTTTTTTGCATCTTTAACACTCGATCTCTTTTTTTATAAGGTGTACATTTTGGGAAATTTTAAAAAATTTTTAAGTTAGGATATTTTTTAATTTTTTTAAGGATTTTGTAAAATTTGTATTATGACGTAATTTCTATAAATTTTTTTCTAATTTATTAGGCTACAGCTACAGAGGGAATATATCATTTGATATGGCCTGATCCAAATAATGGCCTTGGTCTCTTTGTACCAAATCCGTTTCAGGACATTTGGAGTCGATCTAGCGATGTGCGTTGGTTCGTTTGTCTGTCTGGCTGCCTGGTGTGCACAATAACTCTCAAAGGAAGTATCCGATTTCGTCCAAACTTGCTACATTGTATTAGGATTATTAAACTTAGATCGAGTTCGGTGATGTGTAATATCGGTCCACTCTCTCTGGTACCTCCCCCACAAAAGATCGAAATTTTCAATGAAAATATTTTACTGTACATCCATTTTTCCTCAACTTCACAAATACTAATATTTCCATCAGTGCTTGGTGAAATGCGAAAATGGACAATATCGGCTAACTCCATCAAGTACCTCCCCCACAAGGGTTAAACATTTTGAATAATTTAAACTCTTATAAAATGTGATTTGAGAGTCCGAATGTGTTCAAATTACACACATCAAAATATTTCTACTAACTCAGGGTCTGGTGTGAAAAAGAATATATCGGTTCATTCCCTCTGGTACCTCTCCCACAAAGGGTCAGTTCAAATTTTGAATGTCCATGTCCAAGCTCATAAAATACGAAATTAACATCCAATTCCATTCAGACTTGGTACATCTCAATATTGTTATCAGTAATGAAGATGGTAGAGATCGGACCATTCCTTTGGGTACCTCCCCCACAAAGGGTCAAAGATTTGGATAACCAAAACGATTATAAAATCAGAAATAGGCATCCGCGTTTCTCAATCTTTCACACATCCCATTATTTCTACTAACAGTAGATCTGATGTAATGATAGGATATAACGATCGTCTCCTTCTGGTACTTTCCCCGCAAAGGGTCAACATTTTGAATATCCATGAAGATCATATAACGCGAAACTAAGATCCGATTCCACAATTAATCAGTCAATCCATACTTGTATCTCTCTTAACTGGCGATACAAGTCGGCGATTCTTTACGACTTGCTATATCTAAATATTTCTCTCAACCAGAACCCTGAGATGAATATGGAAATTCTAATTTCGCTTAAAATGCGATATAAATCTTCGATTTTCGTGTAATTTTGACCATACCTATATATTTTTCTGTATTAGATGAAGTGTGTATTTTTTCTGTATTAGATGAAAATGGAAAATGGTCGACTATATCTGGTACCTCAAATACATTTCAACATTTTCTCATATTAAGTGAAGGTAGTAACCAATATAGCCAAAACCTGGCATGTTGCAATATTTATATCAATATTTATGTAGGTTCGATACGAAATGGACAATATTGGTCCATTCCTTCGGAACCTACTCCATAGGGGGTCAACAATTTGAACAATCATAACAGAAGTCAAAATATGCTTAAAAAGTCTAACATTGGTTCAGGGTATACATCTGCCGGCAAAACTAACCAATTCTTTATAATTTGTTTTTTTATAGAACAAATTATCTCGATATTTGAGTAGAATTTTTATCAATGATGAAGTTTAGATACAGGGTTGCCCATATTCGACGGACCCATCTGGCAACGCCATTACTTTTGACAGAGATGTCACATCGCTTAATGACATACTGCGTTTGAAGCGTCAGTCGAAGCAGATTTTTACCATGAACCAATACACGCCACACGAGCGCTCTGAAATAGTTGAAATTTACAAGAAGTCAATTGTGAAAACTCAACGAGCTTTGAAAACATTAAAAAATGTGAGAAGTGCGCCTTCTAAGAACACCATTAAGTGTTTGTACGAAAAATTTTCGACTGGTAAGGCTCTTTCTAATCCGAAGAGGCCATATAAAAGTCGACCAATGCGATCGGCCGAGAATATCGCTGCCGTACGAGCCAGTGTTGAGAGGTCCCCAAGAACTTCCCAAAAACGCCGTTCTCAGCAGTTGGGCATGGCTCGGTCCACCTTACAACGGATTATTCGCATTGATTTCATTTGTTCCCGTACAAAATTCAATTGACGCAAAGAATGCTGCCTGCGGACAAGCCTCGTCGATTGGAATGGGCAATGGGTCCGTCGAATATGGGCAACCCTATTATATTATTATTATATATATATATATTTCCAGCAAAAGCAGTGGAGCTGATTGAATTTTTACAAATTCCGCTCTCTTCCAACACACCATTAATATCAGGATATTTTTGAGCCAATCCTGTTCACATGGGACAGAATTAGTACTGTGAATGAAAATTAATAAACATTTCCGAATTATTGGGTCATCATTCCCACAAATCATGCATTACTCATTATTCATAGAATACCCTCTTTGAAAAATTCGTTCCAAGCCAAGATCGACTTAAAGAATTCATGCTTATTCAATTTCCTTCAATATAGCCCGTTGGCATGTCGTTACTGCTTTTGCCATCTTCTTCGTCTTCC